GCAAACACCAGTCTGCGTTTAATGACAAACACTTAAATGAATATTAGTCAGACCAAAATCGACAACAAAGTTCAAATCAACACTTTAGCCACTTTATCTCAGAATACTGACAACATAATAAGAAAAAGTAATGCTGCTATGGTAAGTTTTTATGCTTACTTCAAACTAAAAGGATTGCGCAAATAGGGTCCTATTATTTTACTGATAGATTAACAGCTAGTGTCAAATGTATCCCTTTTTTACTGGCTATTCATTTTTCTTGGAATTATTTTGTTTGTTGTTCTGATCTTTCCCATTTTTGAGATGTTCTGCGCGTGACATCCTCGTCAGTGTGCAACTAAAGCATTCAACGGAGGTCTGATTCTGCCAGCTCTCGGAAATCGCTTCCGCCGATGAGGGAAAGTGATTCATTGCTCCGGCTTTTCGGTTCGACAGGTGTTCTAATTCCATTGTAAATTATATAATTAAACAGAGACAACTGAAAATTAATGCAATTTAAACCTATTTAACTACTTCTTACTATTTTTCCCAGTTGTTATGACTGATTTCAGTGGTCTTTGACAAGGCCTTGACCCTTGTTAAATGCTTTAACGGCTGTGGCTTGGGGAAGACCGTAAAAAAATCACATGAACTAGACTGGCTAGCGTACAGGCGGTAATTTGGGTCATCAGACATTTCAAGTTACATGGCGTGACACACAAGCCGAAACTCTGACGGCTGTCGTGCACTCGCATGGGATGTGCTCAAACATACATGAAATTCATTGCCCCCAGAAAACCAACTAGAAAGTTCAATTGTTTGCTTCGTGTTAGTTGGCCGTGTGGCATGCTTAGCAGAAATCCGCCTTTGGTTGTGCCTTTCTGCACGCATTTACCCCACAATAATTTGCCATTAGCTGTGCTTAGACACATTGACAGTCGAGGCTTCTGAAAACACGTGTGCTCGCTTCATTAGAAAGTGCCAATTTCTGCCTCATGATGGAGGTGGTTTGTCCCAATCATCAGTAAAAAGTGCTGATTAGACCAAAATAATCTCCCACCAGCCATACACACCAGCCAAATTGGTTCCATAGTAGTTATACTGTGTCATGCGAGCGATAATTTACTTCCTGTTTCGCAGTCAAGGGTACGATTTTATCTGCTGCGAAAAGCGCATAGTCGTAAACATCTCTGTTTTTTTCCAATCTGACCATCTAACGCTGCCTTCCTATGCAGCGGTATTTTATTATTAAACAAGACTGCTAATATACATCAGTCACTCATTTCGTCTACTTATACGCTGATTTAAGTAAATACTAGGCATAAACTCAAGTCCACTCAGCACAGATAGTTCACCTCAGTCGTCAATAATCCACACACAGTATAACACGACATAGGCCAAAGGAGGAGTACTGTCTCACAACATTTCATAATTGAAATTTTTTGCAAAACCATAATATTCAGACAGTACAAGACATAGCTGGTTACAACAATGAAAATAATGCAGTTAGTATTTTAAATTTAACCAACTAAAACTTTCATAACTTTGGTTCGCTTAAATGAAAAGAAATAACGGCCAGCCTTCTCACTTGGCTCCCTGGATCGAAGTAATTGAAGGGTTCAATTCTATTGCCGTCCTTCTGACCTGTAATTACGACTTTGCTGATAAACTAAAGTGTATTTTTATTAATTTTACCACAAAAGCCCGTCTACCTCCCTCAAAAAATATGCAAAAACATGCGGACATCAAGAAATATTATAGTACTTGAAATTCTTCTGAAGAAACCACAAAAGGGCACTTTCCTTTAGACAACTAAAACGACCATTTAACAATGCACGGCATGTCAAGTGAGCATTGGTGACGTTCTATCTTCTACTTATTGAGTTGGAGATGCCCTGACTGGATATTTGTATTTCCCAGTTCCTCATTCAAGGCAAACTCAGTAGTTACTTCGAGGTTATTCTCAACTCTTTGCCATCAACTTGATCCAGAACTGCGGTTTTCATGAAATTTTTCAAGGCTAAGATGCAGTACCATTGAGTGCTACTTTATCTTACTCGTTTGTGCGAAGCTGCTCAAAGCGACACAAACTAAACATTCAGTGCTATGTGCATTCAAGTTTAAAATGGTAGCGTGTATTCGTAATTTACGAAGATAAATGCAGAAGTGAGAACCCTTGGCACTTCCGAAAACACCTGCGAGTTCCAATCCAAACGCAAAGGGCAACAAAATGCAACTTATATCAATTTCGCTTTTTTAGTTTCAAATGTTAGCGGTAATTCTATATAGATTCCTCAATAATTAAGGGTTATTTAGCAGTGGGAGAATGGACTAGTGGCAACCCCTATACCGGACAGCCGTAAGAATAACTACGTAATAGCCGGCTTCAAATAAATCACGAAGACTACATTAAGAGTCATTGGGCAGTTGTGAACAGACAAATGTGACCTGGTTGGAGATGCGGCGGTATTACGTCTTACTGGTGCCCAAGTGCAAAGGCCCTAGCGCACCTTATCGAACCCAATTTCTAGCACATCAACGACTTCTCAGAACAGGACGAAGAGAAGAACTCGTGAGGAGACCTTTAACTGTCTTAGCCGAAAGCCCCAAATCAAGTACATGTTCCAATGGGTGAGTTGAGAGCGATTCACACTGCGTGATGAGTAAATAGAAGCCAAATATCTCTGTGTTATCAATTAAGTTGTATTAGGGAATACTGACATCCCCAACAGGAATTTAACGCGAACTGTGGCACTGTACTTTGCGAAACCGCGCTATCACATTTTAGGTCAATGTACTTCTTAATACCCATGACCGGCGTTACTTGTCTACTCAGAAAAACTAAAAGGGGACGATAAAATATCAAAATGTACAACGGATCAATAAAATAGGTAGTCACTGATTATGATGCGCCTAGTTCTTCAATAAAACAGGATAGTTGTGCCACTTGAGTAATGCCTTCGATTTATATCATATTCTAGCTGACTGTCTGGGGTGTCATAATTCAAATTTGTTGAAACAAAAATTGCATCATCATTACAGTCAGTCAGTAAAATGTGATTTTCACTTTAGTATCGCTCCATTCTTTCAAGGTAAGCACTTGCTGTGTACTCACGAACAACCCGCATTTTATCTTTTATCAGTACAGAATGATGCTGATGATTATTTAGCTAAAGGTTCCCAGGCTCCCTATGAAAGGATCGCATCCTAATTAGACAGTTGTGACTCAACAAAGTTCATGTTTTGAAGTTTGTCTAACTGTTTGCTCATCATTCAGTCTAAAAAAAATATTTCAATCCTGAAATTGGCACTCGGTTTGATAAACCTGCACCTCAATGTACAAGCCGAAAGACCTCGTTTAAAGGAACACTCTGTCGTGCTTTTTGTGTTTTGTTGGCCATTAATTCAATTGCGTGAGATGTACACAATGGAAGATGGCAAATGCTCTTAAGAAACATGAGTAGACCATTATTGAGATCGAGAATTTCATCTGTATTAATTTCCGATCACATTAGTGAGAGGAAAATCACCCATATTGAATCCACAGCCGTAAAATGTAGACATTCACACAGAAAACAAGACCGTTTATAAAAAAATTTTAGTTCGCATTATGTAATCAAGGTCAGTAGTAATCTTTAAAATTATTCTGAGATGCAAGTCTTGAGAACATCACCAATTAATATTAACCGGTTTTACATAGTGTTGTTGAGCTATTTCTAGGATAAAAAGATGAACAGAGAGATCGATTGGACGGGCTGACACATTTTCACCACCAAAACCTCACATTTTAACCACTACACACCTTAGATACATCTCCAAGGAACAATATTAAATGGAACACGTTAAGATTAGGTTGTACGAAAAATGTCCATTCGACCTGTTTATGCACTTCCTCGAAGAAAGCTTTAGAGTTTACAAGAATTAATTTTCTTATTTTAAATGACCACACATGACGTTCAGTTTCCCAGAAACGCAGGAGTGATGAGACGCGCGGAAACTAATTACGAAGGCGTGATCTCCCAGTGAGAATGCGGTAGGGCTAAAGCGGCTTGTACACTGCTGGTTCATCGTTGCACACAGACTTGCCTTGTACCCTACGAAACACTAGCAGCATAGCACAAGCGGTGCACAGCCACACGGCATGCGGTAGGCTCAGAAAATTCACTCGAATCCACCTTCACATTGCAACTCAAAACCTGTTCGGTTCAAGTAACTTAGGTCTAAGTCCGTAATGTAAATTTTAAAATCACACAAAGCAGACGTGCGAAATCCGATGAAGAAATGTTGCCACCGCAAAAATAATTAAACTGTTGTAAATCTTGGATGCATACTCAATAATTCGCTTGATTTTAACAAGGGCCACAAAATTAAGCACAAATATTTGAGCTTCTTCCAAAGAGCACTCAATCTGACGCTCATTGACTTTCATTGTTCACACGATCACACTGTTCCTACACCGGTGCCCCAATCCAATCAGATACACCGCATGTCGCCTTCAGATCTCAGCACACAGTCACCTGAGTCTCTCATAGCCACACTCAGTTGCCCATTCGGAGGATTTGCACACGTGTCCACAAGTGATCGCATTGCGTGTAGCAGCAAGTAGCAGCAGATCTCCTTTCGTCAGTTAGTGACTGCAAGTCAGGGGAATTAGAAGCAGCTGCACTGAGACCTGCACACACAACTGCGCAGACCAAAGAAGAGTGAGGTCGTGTGAGCAGTGGAATTGGGAACGGAGGCCACAGACATCACACCGAGGGTCGAACTTGCCGCGTGATTAATTTGGCCTCGCAACCGAATGCTGAGAAGAAGTGTGCATCCGTGTGCGTGTGGTGAGACGTGAGCGAAGTTTGCAGCTGTCTTGTTCAGTTAGAAGCATCAGGCGAATGCGTGCATAGGGCGGATCGAAATCATAGCGAGTGCGCACAACAATGAGCGTATCACCACATCTGGACTCGCCACACACACGCATACACACAAACACAGACATCAAGTGAGCAGGTTTGGCAGGTGGAGCAGTATTAGTTGCTGTGAAGTGAGCAATCCACGGCACGAATGGGAGGTGTGAATGCACAAGACGCATGAGTAGGACGAGGAGAAGACGGAGGAGGAGACAGTGGAATGAGCCATGGAAGATTACAAGTGGATGGAATGACAGACGCTGATGAGTTCATCGACTCGCAGTGGGTGAGCATGTCCTCAAGTGAGATAGTGATTCTGTTGTGTTGACGAATTTCCGACATGTAGATTACACTTGCAATCACATCCATCTATCCAATAGATATAGACATCAAGGATGAGATTTCGGAGAGGGCATTGGTTCTCCAGTAGCAATCACAACCAATCTAAAAAATGTGAGGGGTGCAATTCGTAGGTTGAAAAGTACACGTTTGTGGTGGAATTGTGGAAG